TGGTAATAGCGCAAATGGAAAAATAAGTTAAAAAATTAAAAAAAATATAGTTCATATAAACAGACTTTACATAGGTGCGATTGTTATCTTTATTTGCGAGTATTTACGAGTATTTTAAAGTAGTCTGTAGAGTAATAAATAAACACCTAATATTTTATAACCCTACACTTCAAAATTTTCAACGACATATTGTTCGCATTATTTTCAGTCGCCCCTTAGTTTTTTTTATGAAAAAAGTCGATGTTTTAGATTCAACGCCAGCATTGAGGCAGGTATCATTGTTAGTTCCGTAATTGTCATATAGAAAACGCTTCAGATAGACTCCCTTTTTTCACGCTATGATGAAAAGTTTCTTTTGAAAAATATTGTGAGTATTTATTTAAAAAACGAAACACTTTATATAAAGTATGTATTTAAAAATTTCAAATGCAGTTCTTGATATTTACACTTATATTTTATTAGATAATAAAAATATGCTTCGTAAACAAGTTTACTGTTGCAAGTGTTTTATAGAAAAAAAAACGTGTGTGTACTTATGTACAGACGTAAGAAGTTATACTTCTTTAGTGTAACAGAACAACAATAGCTAAAGATTTCATCCTGTATGTCACAAGTCTCTGTTTGCAAAAGGAATGCAGCTAACTTCATCATGTCCTTTTCAGCTTATTTCATCATGTCGCTTTTTGGCTGTCGGTGTGCGCGCGCATCGTAAAAATTTTACTTTCATATTTTTTTCCAAACGTACCAAAAGAATTGTAACTTCAAAAATTGCTATGTATATATGTAGTAAGAGATAATGCCAAGATATAATATAAATTATACATTGGTACCAAGTTTAATCTATAATATAAATTATATATTGGTACCATGTTTAATCTATGTACATCCTTCCTACGGTTTATACATAAAGGAGTAACACACTCGCTCCATCACAAAACTTAGTATTTAGGTACCTATAATATTAGTGTAAAAACACAATAAAAAGAGAGAGAGAGAGAGAGATAATGTACTTACTATTAAAAGTATAAAAGAAGTAAGTAGTAATATGTGTTCAATATACGGGAAATAAGTTACGTAGTTTTTTTATGAATAAGCGCGACAAAAAAGATCTCAAAAGTCAGTAAATGAAAATCGGCTTAAAAAAGGTATGAATCATCGTACTGACTGGTATCACTTTGTTTGTAAATCAATCGATATTGTATGCGATATTCATGCAAACGAAGAGTCGGTTTGAAATGACTAATTAACATGTTTGCATATTATACTGCAATAAATAAGGCAGTGGTAGCCCAGTGGTAACGCGCTCGCTTGGGAAACCGAGTGATGCGGGTTCAAATCCCGGGTCTCGCACCTCTGATATTTTCATGTGCGAATCATTTCTAGCATGATTACCACTTGCCTTACGGTGAAGGAAAACATCGTGAGGAAACCTGCATGTCTGAGGGAACTTAGCAAATGCATACATACGTATTATATTGGATTTTGCACGCGGCTTAGCTAGCGTAATCATCAATAAACATTATTAATCTGGGTTGTAAGCTATCTCTATTCCGAGTTGGTCTCCAAAGCGTTAAGACGTTAAAGCGTGAACAGTTACAAATACAAACACACACACATTCACTTACTGACTCACTCACTTACACAAACTTACCAATTTTGTTAACATTAATTTAAAAAAATTAATAAAAAAATTGAACTTGCATGTACTCGTAAATTTTATTTAAATTATAATTAAAATCTATCATTAATTATTAGTTTGGCAGACAGAGGAACCCTTAAACTTTAAGAGATATAAAGTTCTATTCGTTTACTTTAGAAATTCTTTTTTTCTTGCACAATCATCTAAAAGTTACGGAAATCAACATAAAAGCTTATTCTTGTAACTTTGTAAATTCGTAATTTCCTTTGGGGATAAATGTTAGTAATATTGTGTAGGTACTAGGGTTACATAGAAAAATATTCTTTGTACTTATGATATAAAAAAAAGGTGAATGCGCACTTGAAAATATATTTTGACTGATATACATATATCTATCTATATTTCCCAAAAAATATAGAATGATACTTCATACGTCATGCTTTTTTATGCTACGTATAGTAAGTAGCGATTGCAATAAGTCATACAATGTTTTGTGTGGATACAGAAAATACCAAGAATAATCTTATATATTGTTCGTATATACAGCCATACTAATATCATAAATGTGAAAGTGTGTTTGTTTGTTTGTTTGTTTGTTTGTTTGTTTGTTTGTTTGTTTGTTTGTTTGTTTGTTTGTGTTTGTTTGTTTGTTTCGTTTGTTTGTTTGTTTGTTTGTTTTTTGTGTGGAGATAGTTGGAGGGCTGGAGAGTGACATAGGCTACTTTTTATCGCGGGAGATTATTTAATTCCCACGAAATAACACGTTAGAATACAATCTAAAAAATATTTATGATTAGAATTACTTGGAACTTGATTAATACTCTTCAATAAAATTAAATAAATGAGTTTTCGCATTTTTCGAAATTCATCATATAAGGGGTAAAATAGGGGATGAAAGTATGTATGAAAATACCTTTTTAGAGATTTTTTTGTAGTTTTAGCGCGAGCGAAGCCGCGGGTTCTGCTAGTACGTATATAATTAGATTTCTAACAGAATACAGAAAAAAGCTCTGGCTCAGTGGTGCTATGATAAAACTACCTCGGTGCATTGGATTAGTGGCTGGCATATACATACATACATACTTGTATGTATGTACTAGCGACGCACCCTCGGTTCGCTTCGGATCGTCCCTAGGTTGATTCCCCATACAAACTTTCATCTCTATTTTCACCCCCTTAAGGGCTGATTTCCGGGAAAAAACTATTCTATGTTATTTTCAGAGTCTCAAACTATATTATTACCAAATTTCATCTAAATCGGTTCAGTAGTTTCGGAGCCTATTCAGTACAAACAAACAAACAAAAAATCAAATCTTTCCTCTTTATAATATTAGTATGGATGTAACTACAAATAAAAAACAAATATCTTTTTATAGCAGTGTAATAGTGTTCATTTTTAACCAGATGCCAGTCTACAAATTTGAATATAAGAAAAATTAGCTAAAATATCTTAAACTAATAAACCACACTTACGTAATAATAAACAGCGGCTATAATTTTAGGCACTTCTGGCGAAAAGTAGTCCCTCGGCGAGAGTTTAGTTTTATCGACCATATACACTATACACTATACAGCTCGTTTGAGTATGTTTATAGCATTAAATTTATTATTTTGTGAAAATAAATATTTGGTTTCTGATATTACTTTACTGTAATTCTGAACTTTCTGATCTAATATAATATAAGATAATATTATATCCGCGAAATAAATCCGAAAAGATGACCATTTAAAATGTCAAATATTCGCGTAAATCTAAGAAAGTATTAATATTATATGCTTTGAATATTTTATTATTATTATCTCGTTAGTAAATAGGTCTTATCTTGGAAATAGTTTTGTTAAATTGATTGAAATAATTTAAGAATACAAATTAATTTTCCATATAATTATTAAATCCAGATTCAACTTTTCTATAGTTACAATATTTTTTGTAGGTATCGATGTACATACATACGAGTATATAATAATAAATTTATATAGAACGAATAAATTAAAAATTACATAATAAAAATATATCTCATGTACAGAACTAAGCACAAAAAATATACGTGTATGTAGGACTAAGCTTTTAATTAAAGGGATTAAAAATTTTCTAAATATAAATTTCAAAAGAGGTTTTTGATTTTCAATAATAGCCTGTAAGAGTTTCTGAAGCACGTCCCTTTTCATCCAACCTTTTATGTAAATTTTTATTAAAGCTTTGAGAAAAATCTATTAAAGTAACATGTAAAGGAACGTGGTCTATCTCTCTCTAAACGTTCTTTTATTTGCCTTGGCGCAAATTTAAGAATCTTATACATATAGTATAATAATAATAATAATAATAAATGTTGGGACATTAACACACAGCGCCATCTAGTTCCATGGTAAGCTACGAGGCTTGTGTTATGGATACCAGATAGTTGATATACTACACATATACTCGTATAACTTTAAATATTATAAATATAAACACCCATGACTGGAGTACAAACATTCGTGCTCATCACACAAATGAATGCCCCCAGCGGGACTCGAACCCGCGACCGCTGGCACATCAAGTACTTCTACTTTTTATTTACGAACCATTAAAGCATTAAATATTATTTTGAAATTTGCTTCATTAGTCTGTTGGTTAGCTTGTAAGATTGCAGATTACAAAGAGTAAAATTTGAGTCCCAGATTGAATCGAAAGGGTTATTTGGTAAAAAGCTTACAATGGCAGCCTGAAGTCGAAAAATCGGTAGTGTTACTCCTGTCCCTGATCTTTAGAGAGTCCTTAAAGCTCTAGGTTTTAGCTATCTATAAGAATGAGGAGAAAACACAGTGTTTACAGGCACAATTGTGAATGATTATAGCTCCAGCGAAGATTGTCACCATGATCTCATACATGTACGGTAAAAAAATTATAAATAACCCATTTTTATTCCTTATATTTACGCAATATAAGGTTTATTTACCTACTCGTAGTTTTTTAACCATCTAGTTGACCTATTTCAGGTGCTTGTGCCAACAGTATTAAAACATATAAACATATTATAAACAGAACAATATTAGAAATGCGAAAGCTTTCAAGTCACTGAGTGTATGAATTAATTAGTGAAAGAATGAGGTTCATCTTATGAATTAACATATATGAGGATATTATTTAATGACGTACTTATCACTACCTACTGCTCGCACTGATAATATTCATGCAGGTTTTCTCACGATATTTTCCTCCACCGTAAGGCAAGTGGTAATCATGTTAGATATAATTCGCATATGAAAATATCAAAGGTGCCAGACCCGGGATTTGAACCCGCTTCACTCGGTTTCCCAAGCGCTTCTTTTTATGTTTGAATCTTATAATTTTAAAGCTTTTTTTTAATTTTGTTAACAGTGGTGATGCGCTTGCGACGACTCTATCTGCATTGTATGGGAAGCTGCTAGTTGTGATGGGTGTTGCGTTTCCTATGGCCGAAGTTATCTCTACTTACATTCCACCATCATTCTATGAGGTATGTTTTCATGTCAATGATAACACGTTTATATAATTCTAAACAGGAAATGCGCAATATAACTTAATAGATTACTTTTTGAAATTAATCTGATAACACTATCGTGTCTCGTACTTGACCGAATCAAAAAGCGGGATATTCAATTCGATTTGATATGTGTATGTACTATGTTATTGGGGTGATATCTTTCCAAATTTTGAACTGACATAATTATTTTTTAATAATTAATTACACAAGTGTATACCTCAAAAGTACCTCAAATATAATAATTACTTTTAAGTCCAATAGCACTTCACAAAATGAATATTACAAATAAATTATTCTAACATAATATCGTATCTAACTAATTTGATAAATTTTGTAAAACAAATTAAACCGACATTTAAACTATGAAATAAAAGTAACATTTTGTTGGCAGGGCTTCTATCTGTATTTATATATAGGCAGCATGGTGTTCCTCCTGTACATGTATGCAGCTCTCCTCCGAGACAGATCGCGCTCAGCAGCTGACACCGCCGTCGTCGCCAGTGAGTTGTTTTGTTCTCTATTTGTGCTATTTTTAAATGTTTTCATATTTTTCGTGAGATATATTACTTTTTAAAGCAAATGTCTACTCCCGTTGTGCTTTGAAACCAGACTTTCTGTGTTTAATGTTATATTTATACTAGCGACTCATCCTCGCTTCGCTCGGGTTCGACCCTATGTGCGTTTTACTTTTTTTGAGCGCAACCCTAATTCTTTTTCGAATATAAAAGTAGCCCTATAACATCAGCTGTCTTCCAGTGAAAGTCCCGTCAAAATCAGTCCAGCTGTTTCAGAGATTATCCGGAATAAACAGACAGATAGACACAAAATTTTATAAAAATGTGTTTTTCTTATAAGTACCGTATATAATTTAATATGCATTAAGTAAAACGCTGTTATTTTGACATTACAAACAGACATTTCAATTTTATTTATCTGTATTGATAATGATGTTTCTTAACTTGGATCTAAGGTAAATGTACTGAACGTTTATAACTTGATAAACAAACAATGGTCATGTTAGTAAGCATTAGCAATCAATCGATAACATTATTAAAAATGAGTTCCGATGTAGATACATCCCAAGGAAAACCTTTGGAATATATTAATTATCTATTATTTTAAATAAAACTATCTTTTCGGATTTTAAAAGCATTCATGGTTTCTGAGACTGAGTCTCTCCCGTGACCGTGAATGCTGTAAAGCATTCGAAATGTCGGGAACCAAAAATCCAAAAAAAATCAGCGAAATAATCCGAAATGATAGTTTTATTTAAAATGTCAAATATTTGCGCAAATCTAAGAAAGTATTAACTTATTTTATTTGTCTACTATTATTTTATTTGTCTGTAAGTTTACTTTGGTAAATATGAATAATCTTGTACGTTGATGTTGCAACCATCGCTTTAAATAGTATCTATCTGTAATTTTTTTAAATCAAGCAGTTATGTATGAAGAGATTAATCGTCTTCTCAACAAAAGATAAAAAATAACTTTTTATTTTCTGTATAATTTCTAATATTGTACATTTACACATTAGAAATATATTTCGCATAATCCTTACATTTATGTACAAAGTTTATCTTTTATTTATTTACAGAATCTTTCTCAGACAAGATTCAACACTTAAAATATACGTATTCTTGAAAATTAACGCAGAAGGCACTTCGTTAACACTACAAACATGTTCAGCGAGTGTTTGACTTGTTTTAGCGAGAAAATGAGCTAAAGTTGTTTATTTGCGAGACGAGATTGCCGAAACAGATTCAAGATTGCTTCTGATTATTCTTATATATGTAATATCATTTATAACATATTTAACGAATAAACAAGATATTTATCATTTGTTAATACTTCTTGTTCATATGCATACATACTTTACTAGCGATTATAGTGTTTAAATAACGTATAATTTGAAGCCATATTTGTACAAGTTATAATTAGTAATTTATTTGATTGAGTTTTGTAAGCAACTGTATATTGCGGAAACAAAAATATAAGTATAAAATTGATAATAATCCCTCAACGACCGCGGACACGCCGGCGTTACAGTTAACAATAGATGTCTTAGAAATTTAATTAATTTCTTAGAAATTAAATTGAGGTGTAAATAATATTTTTTTATCAGCACTCACTTAAATATTTTAATTCCTCGAAAACAAATTAAAGTTCCAAAAAGACTATTCTTTTCGTTGAATACTATATTCGTTCTTAAATCGCTTCAATAATTACTTGCCTTCAAGGCTTCCAATGTAAAATGAAAGAACCAGTCCAGTGCACTATAAACGATTCTATACCTCAAAGAATTGTGGTTTAAACTTTTGATGCGGGTCTAACTTTTGAGATTCCTTTACAAAAGCCAATATTGATAATGTAAATTGGCATCCTTCAGGTGTGCTCTTTAGAAATTGGTTTTCATTTTAAGAAAAGACGGCTTTATGCTTAGAATTTATGTACTTACAAACGATTGCATATACAAACTTTCATATTATTAAATATGTTAAATATGTTGGGACATTAACACACAGCACCATCTAGTTCCATGGTAAGCTACGAGGCCTGTGCTATGGATACCAGATAGTTGATACACTACACATATATAACTTTAAATGTACATATTATAAATATAAACACCGATGACTAGAGTACAAACATTCGTGCTCATCACACAAATGAATGATGCGGGATACGAACCCGCGACCACTGGCACAGCAAGTAGGGTGGCTACAAATGGTGTCGTCTAATTATGATGAATTATCATATTATCTGAAAGGAATAGGAATATAAAATATTTAACAAAATTTATTATCAAAATAACTATAATTGTAAAACTCATTACAGAAATAATCGATCGGAATCGATAATAACTATTATCGAAACGTCAAAGGTAACAAAATTCGTTGGCTTACTATTACAAGGTTCTATGTTACAATTTTATTACTTATTTAGTTATTAATGCTACAAGGTTCTTTGTGTTAATAGCTAGAGTTTTGCAAAAACAAACCACGAGATAGCGGCACTATAACTACAAAATATTCAATTTTACATAGTTCTATGTTGGTTTTTTTTTCGATAACAATATAACGAAGTTCTATGTAAAAATTACTAACTTCATTAAAATTAACATAGAACCTTGTAAAAGTAAGCTAACGAAATGTATCATTTCATTTGAATGAAAACACCTTAAAATATAGTCATTGAACTGGCGAGATTGTGAAAACATTTCGCACACGAATGCAAAAATTTCAATCGGATTTTATTAAGCTGTTTGTTCTTCTTGAATTAAGCGTCAACATATGACAAGGGATTATTTTCTTTTTCTATCTACGGGTGTTATGCTTTACATAAACTCAATTTCAGGAATATTTTGACTACACGTTTGGCTCATTTTGTAGTGACCCTACTTGCTGTGCCAGCGATCGCGGGTTCGAATCCCGCTGGGTATATTCATTTGTGTGATGAGCATGAATGTTTGTACTCCAGTCATGGATGTTTGTATTTATAATATTATGTATGTATTTAAAGTTATATATGTCCGGTGTATCAACTATCTGGTATCCATAACACAAGCCTCGTAGCTTACCATGGAACTAGATAGATAGCGCTGTGTGTTAATGTCCCAACATATTTGAGAAATGTAATTTAAAGCTTGGAAATTGAAATCAAATTAAACTTTATTCATGGAGAATAGACTTTTAGAATTATTTTAATTTAAAGTGAGTATTTTAAGAGAGATTTATTTTAAATCTCATTTCTTCAATTTGTTCTCCTGAGTTTGAGTTTTTCAAAGTGCTTATTTACATTGCAAATGGATCTTGTTAAACAGAAGAAAAAACCATTTTAATTGGCGCACACATCTGCAATACGAACGTGCGATGGAACTTACTAATTTCTACTGTTTTAATTATACGGGACTATTGTGTTCATTGTTCATTTAACTGCCTCGGTGGTGTAGTGGCTACCATGTACTGCTGCACATCCTGAGGTCCTGGGTTCGAGTCCAGGGTCGGGCCAAGTTTAGTTATTGAGTCTTTCTGTATAGTAAGTCTCAGTAACAGCCCGGAGTTGGGAAGTTGGCGGTGTTTTACCTCCGTGCCTCGGAGAGCACGTAAAGCCGTCGGTCCTGCGCCTTAACTCTCACCGGTCGTGTCGAGTGGTCGTCCCACCGGAGTATGAGAGTGATAGGAATAGAGAGTGCACTTGTGTCTGCGCGTACACTTGTGCACTATAATATCTCCTGCGCAGTTGGCTAGTCTCAATGAGATTGGCCGCCGTAGCCGGAATCGGCTAGGAGAACATCATTGTGTTCATTTTGAAAATATTTTCTTTTGCACTAACACCTGCTTACTAGAAGTTTAAAGTAGAGTCAAAATGTGAATAATAATTGCTTCCATGCAAAATAATATATCAATTGAATTTTAATGAATGAATTACGTATTGAATTTTATGTAACATGAGATACCTATATTAAAAAAAATTCTAAATAGTGTATGTAAAACATACATTTAGTGTATATTTAGTGATACTAAATTAGGAAAGTAAGTTTTTATTACAAACAACCTTCCACTCGATCTTTTTCGTACATTACTGTAATAAAAATAAGTCTGTATTAATTGAAAAACTTCTTCTATCCTCCTCTTCTATGTTACGTCTTCTTTTTTTCTTAGGATAAAAATTATTTATTATCACAAATGTAGACAGTATCAATCAGTACCTTTCTCTATTTTCATATTTTATATATTAACTATGTATATGTATATATGTATGTATGTATAAGTAGTCTTTACATTAGGTATTATATATGTATAGTATTATATATTTTTATATATAATATATGTATGTATGTATGTATATATGTATGTATAATTGGTTATTATTACCTTTATTTCTAGTATATAAATATATATTGCAATATCAAAAACCTGCTATTAGGTCAATTAATAATTATTACTAGTATGAATTTATCAGTGATTATTGGCAATATACGTGCGTATAGTATTATGTCATCGGTGGTTATAGTATATTTATGATTGTACTCAAAAAAGTCTTTTAAAATATTTTTAATTCAGTACCATTCATCTCTTTTGAAATACTTACGTAAGAGCTTTTATACTTCGATTTATATTTTTCTTTTGAAGTGTTTAGGGCTTTGCGACGTTATTGCTTTTTGAGTAAACTATTTGTGATTTAAATGAAGCGTAAGTCTCAGCAGGTGGGTAGTTCTAAAAGGACGTGTTTTGTTATTTGTATTTATTTATTACTGATAAACAGCTTTTAGGGTTACTTAGATAAAGGTAAAAATGTAATAGTTTTTTACGATTTACGCGAATATTTTGATAATTTAAATAAAACTTTTTGTTTTATTTTATTATTGCGAAAATAATATCCCAAATAGCTGTTTTATCTTAATCAGTGTTCGCCTAGTGGTCGTAAATTGACCATAAGTAAACGTATAGATGGAAATGGAATTTACCTATTTTCATCAAAAAAAATAACTGATTCCAAAAATTATTTATAATAACACTATGCCCGTCAATAGCTACTTTAATTTAAAAAAAAACAGTTGACAAACAGAGGAGAAATCTACACTGTTTTATCTGTGCCCATTTATATGTAGATATCTTCCATTATAAATCTCTTTTCAGTTAAAATTTACCGCACTAACAATTTCTACTCAAGAATATTTTCTTATAAGTAATCATTTCATACAGAATCAGATTCGAGCTCCTCACAATCGGAATCGGATTCGTGTTCATCTAGAACAGAGCGCAGTAACACGACTGCTGCGCACGCGTCGCCGCAGTTAGCCGCTAAACGGTTATCCCTCGGGTTCGCCCTCGCTACACGTACACATCACTATGGCAGCTTCTATTTGAGGATGGGCGCTGTGGGTAAGTAAATATTTTGAAAATCATATGATTACTGTATGAAACACAAGGGAAAATATTAATTTCATATAATTTAGAACCTATCCACAATAGCCTAGGTTCTATATAAAATCTAGTATTAAGATATTAGGTTTTATATCTTTTTTCTCTAAATCTAGGATGATCTGCCGTTCAAAATAGTAATTTTCCTAACATTATAAATTAAAATTTGTGAAATTGTACAGGCAATAACAACCTTCAGTTGTTAATATTGTAATTTTATATAATTTTCTTTGCTTTAAATAACTTAAATCATGTAACTATCCTATATATATATAGTTTAATTTAATCATAGAGTATGCATATGGGAAGAAGCGGGCCATTCCCAACACAAGTATCCTCGGATTACTTACTGGGAAGACTCGAACACAAAATGTAAAGATGATTAAGAAATAAAAACTATTTTTTTTTTATTATTTTATCTGTAGAGAGTACTACTGAACTACTGGTACTTCTGAGAAAGATGTCTCCATTGACTATATTAATATTTCTATCTAACATATAATCTCTATGTGTGGCAGTACTTGGTAAGTTGGTACTAATCTTTAAGTACCTAATAAAACATTATTTAAATAAATAAAATAAAAAAAGAAAACTAAAACATTATTAATACCAAATTAATAAAATAAAAAAACGTGTTTTTAAAAGAGTTTTAATTAATTTAAGTATATTTATTATCTGCTACTATTTATTTTATGAAAGGGGATCTGGAAGTTGAATTTAAATAGACGAAGCTCCTAAATTAAGGCAACACAATTATGTTCAGGGTACTATGTATATAGTCAGTCTCTTGAATGCAAATGACAGTTATAACGTAAACTATCTATTATATTTAATTATAAAAAAAATATTTGATATATTATGGTAGAGGCGTAGGTAATTAGTAATTTAAGTACTATGCAGAAGGTAGTGAATTCAAATTCTGTATGATGTATACCTATTGGTAGTCATACATATTTTAAAGTTCGGTATATTTATAAAGTCATTGTTTGGAAAAAAAGAGAAGTAGGTGCTTAAGCAGAGCGAGCGTTAAATGCTAGATTACAACAATTAGTAGAAGATTATATGGTTATTGGCTCTAAGCATTATTTTGCAATACACTAATATTTAATAATTACCATTTTATATGCGGAGATAAAATATTGAAACTCCTACTCTTGTTTATTCTCGTTATTCTCCGGGTCATTATATTCTACCTAAATAATCACTTCGAACCATTAATATCTGGGTGAAAAAGTTCAAATTAGCAAATACACTTCCGCTAATTATAATTTTAGTAAGTAAAGATTATCGTGTTTATAAAACGTACATATAACTTCTAAAAATTCCTATCAAGCAGAAATATTGTCTACAACAAACTTTCTAATCGCTTTGAAAGTTTCATTAACAAGATTAATTATGTTTGATATTTTTTTTGAGATTAATTTATTGTCAACTTTATTAAGCTAAAGGTTAAGCTAAATCTTGTGAGTTTTATTACATTATTAAGTCCTATAACTACTTCTCACAATTTGTTTCTTGGGCTGATATATAGGTTTGTATAGTATTAGAGTCAGATCTTTGCGTAGTTTAATGTTATACTCATAAGTACATAGGTACATATAAAGTATTCGCAACATTTCGTAAAAATTTCCAAGTTGACAGACCATGAAGTCCTTGATATATTATATACATTTTGCAACGCGTTCCTATTCCAGGAAATATATATATATATATATATATATATATATAAATGTGGAAAAGAATCAGGTTAACAATAACACCAACGAGCGGTAGTATTGCGTAGAATATTATTTTTCACTTCATTGTTATGGTTTTGTACGTTTCATTATTGTACCTTTACTGTACAACAAGTAGGCTAAGTGGAGGCTCACAGAGACCGTTTGCTTATTTTCTTTTTAACTCGAGTCACTGAAAGAGTACGAGAATAGCTTAAAAGTAAAAAAAAAACATTTGTGATTCAACTATTTCATTCATCCAGTACAAAACTGGCGCCTAAAATAAATATTAAGTAAATATTATTAATTAATATTTAAAATTAACAATAATAAGATGTTTGTAAAAAGAAATTATTTAATGAGAAATATGACTTTGCAAACTAAATTTAATGCTACCTTAATCGTAACTAAAATAGCAAATCTCGTATCTCGTATCGTATAATATGATGTAATATCTAAATGCCTCTGAAAATAATATCCGAAGCTCTTCGGAAGTTCGTCGGAAACACCTTTGAAACTAGGACAATTCCGGAGTAGTGAACCTGACCTGACCTTATATTCCTAATAGACATCTAAACATTCGGTTTCAATTTTTAGTTTTAGAATAAAAATATGTTATGAATATTAAGTTATTGTTATATAAATAATTGATAACATAGAATTTTATTTAATACTAGCAGTACCCGCGGCTTCGCCCACGTCCAAACTTCCGATCGCTAATAAAATTCACAGGATCACCCGCTGGGCTAATCTGAAGATTACCTGAAAAATTCATCAAAATCGCTCCAGCTGTTTTGGAGTACATAGGAAACATACATCGATTTTTATTTTATTTAATCAACAATTTAAATGTATTTATTGCGCTGAAAATGGAGTCTTTCATGAAAATTTTGTGGCACACCGACTGCACCACCACCTAATGGGTCCATTTGTATTTTTAAACCGTCCAGGAACCCATTGAAATACACAAATAAAATTTCATCCAAATCGGTCCAGTTCTTTAGGAGGAGTAGGTTAATAAACACACGAACAGAAGAATTATATATATTAAGATTATTACAAATACTTGCTTAGTTTTTCTTTTAGGTAATAAAGGAGCAATGGACCGATTCTCTCGAGTGATACTCGTCAAGATGTTAGTCTTTATGGGCGCTAACAAACCACTCGCATAAATATTTGAAGGGTACAGGCAAAGAACAGGGAATATTCTAATGAATAGACTATGGCATAAAGCAATTTAAAGTTTAAAAGTTATAATATTTTTATCATATAGGAGCTACTACCTATGCAGTAACTTTTTACTATGTATATTTTTGGACAATCCTCCTCCTTTATCCCAGATCTTTTTGGTTTGGGCATAGATTAAAACGTATTTTTAACGACATCCAATGGGTATTTGTAAAAACCAGTGGCTGGGTATGCAAATACCATAAACATAGATTCGTTACCAGTATAAGAAAAATAAACTTAATTATTACACTGCCTGTTTTTTGTCTGTACCCTTCATTAATTTGTAATTATACATAGTTACATTGTAATTTTTAAAAATTATTGATGATTTTTGTTTTTTCATTTGTTCAGCTTTTGGAATCGGGTCGATGATCTATTCAGGCTTAGAATTCGGACAGTATTGGGAGCTAGAAAGGAATACCAACTGCCATAATGTTTTGCTCGCATTGACACCTGCCACTCGCATGGCCTTTATCTTCATACAGATGTACTTCATTTTTCTCAACAATGAGGTATGTTTATGTTTGATTTTAGTGCATTCTGGAGTGCTAAATACACACAAAATTAGTTATTTATAAGTGAAATATTTATATTACCATCAACACACAGACACATTTTTTTTTTTATTAAAAATCTATAAATGTTGAGGAGTTTTTCCGTACCATATACATTTTGAGGTTCGATGAAATACATTCATGTAAATGTACAGAAAGTGGTAGCCCAGTGGCAACGCACTTGCTTGGAAACCAAGTGAAGTGGGTTCAAACGGGTCCTGTGCTCAGCAGTGGGACGCTAAAAAGTGCTGAATACACATCGCACACCTAGTTATGATAATAAGTAGCACAACTCAAAATATCTCTTTTTTCAGAAATAGAAAAAAACATTTTACTCTTTTTCTATTTGATATATTAAAAATAATCTTATGTGTTCTTGTATATAATTTTACAAGGAATTTTTTTTGACCAATGGCTTGTCATCAAATAGCAGTATCACTTGTAACCAACTCAATATCACTTGAAGATATTTATTTGGAACACAAACTAACCAACTATATATTAAACACCAAAATTTCTAAAAATGGTTTTATTTTTTCGTGTTAAATTAGTAATCTTGACAAAATCTACAGAGTTTATGTAGTTTTTAACGCTGATTCCTTTAATAGTAATAACTCGAATTTGGATTATTTGGAGTTGTCCTACTCTTTACATAGGTGTGCGATATATACAATTCGATAGTTATATACATATAAAACTTTATTGTTGAGTTTCTCGCCGGTTCTTCTCAGCAGAACTGCTTTCCGAGCCGGTGGTAGCTTCCTCACGGACTGATTGCACTGACGCTTTTATTAAATTGACAATTCAAAAGTACTTGTAGTAAGTCTAATAGAATAAAGTTTATTTCATTCATTCATATTAGTACATACAAACATTGTGTTGAAAAGAATTTTCAGCTCTCGCCATTTTGTTTCTTAAAGGTTTTCTGTAGCACTTTATGTAATTTCAAATCTTTCAGATGAAAGTGTACAAGCACAAGATAGTTGCGAGATTCGGATTAATGCACATGGTGGGAACAAATCTAAGCGTGTGGTTAAATGTTCTTGTTCAAGAAACAAAACACGAAATACTCACGTTCTACGATCCTGAGAATAAAACTATTGGGATCTCTCATCGGCTTGGTAAGTATCTATAAAATTTGAGAAATTTTACTAATTTTAACTCTTATTATCCTGGTAATATTATTGAGATCTTGCTTCTTCCTATAACATGATACGATATCATAGAAAAAATAATCACACGTAAAATTTATTTTTATTAACTCACTTTAGTATTAAATAGAAGGCAGTAAAACTTTTTCATTGAACGTAATATTACAGATTAAAACTTTCAAAAGCTTATTGACTGAATCAGGAATACTAACGGAATTTGTTGTTCAATAATTTTCATTATATGGCGGAAAAATCAAGATTAAAATATATTTAATAATAATTTGATGTGAAACAGTAAACATTTTCAAATAAAAAGGAGAAATTCGAGTAAAAGATGTAACGTCAGCAATATAACTTGGAAAAATTCCCTCCCCGAAATACGTTCTTCGAGCAAATGTCTTTTAATAAATGATGCCAAACTGTCTTCACCAGACCATCGTTATTGGATATTTGACGAATTACGTATGGGAATTTAATATTTGTTGATGTCGATATTTACTTTATTGCTTCGCTACATAGTATCAGCACAGTATGTGTTCATGTCGGCATTCAGCTAGTATAACAATTGTTGTTTTCTTATAATTTATATGCATATATAGAAGAAATATGACAGAAATAAATAAAATACTAATAGGTGGTATATATGATATATTAAAGAACCCAAATGCTCAAAAATATTGGCTGAAAAAAACTGCTTTTACACTAAACATTCTCTATTACAGGTTGTATAATGTATACATATACTAGCAGAACTCGCGCCTTCGCTCGCGCTAAAACTGTAAAAAATCTCTAAAATGGTAGTTTTCATACAAACTTTCATCCCCTATTTTACCCTTATGTATTGAAGTCCGAAAAATGCCAAAACACGTATTTATTGAATTGTTTTGAAGAGCATTAATACCAAGTTTCAAGTAATTCTAGTAATAAATATTTTTTTGGGTTGTACTATAACGTGTTTTCCCGTGGAAATGAGATAATCTTCCGTGGTAAAAAGTAGCCTATGTCACTCTCCAGCCCTCCAACTATCTTAATCCGTTTCGACGTGAAAGAAGGACAAACAAACACACTTGCACATTTATAATATTAGTATTGATATTATAGCTAGTATGGTTTATTCGACAATTTAGACAAATCACATCACACATAAGCTATCGAGCTCAACAAATAGATTAAGCTATATAGGCTACAGAACATATGTATGTACATTTGTACATCCACTCCAAAAAACCCCGGCTGTCGTATACGTAATTGACATTACTCTCTCCCTGGGACAGTCGAGTATAAGATTGTATATTCATTTTTAGGGTTCCTTTGCCAAATATAAATTTTAAGCGTGTATGATATCTCTGGATAGGCTTTTGAAAGAGAAATAGAAATTTTGCAGTAACTCTTTTGTTCTACCCATCGCTTTTGAAGTACGGGATGGAAAAAATAATAAAAAATAATCATAATAGAGCTTCCAACATATGTACTTTTAAGGGAAATTATTAAGAAGAAGATACGTTGAGTAGTTTTTTAATATATGTGTTATTTTCGGTTCCACGCTTTCAGCCGCAAAATTACCTTTTGTTTCTCATACACGATACAATTAATATAATACAAAGTTATTTATTTCGTCAAAATCAATATCGCAGATTTGTTTCATGTGACAGAACACCCACTTTGTTTGATTCAGAATCGCACTTGCCTGACTTGTTTTTGAAATGGTTTTAGATTGGGCCATGTCGCATTTAATAAAGTTAGTTATGTAGACCTTTTTGTCCTGTAAATGTCACCAGCACGTATAGAAGTTAACATTTGAATAGATGATGGGAAATTGGAATAATGATATTCGTATTGGATTTTTTTATTAGCGTTTTTGACATGGAAGACCAATATTTATTTGTTATTTACATATGAGCAAACTACTGTATAGATTTCTATTGCATAATTCGATTCTTTTTTTTTGTCTATTATATTTCTACATATTGAGATATTTTTTTAATCATAGTTAAACTTTTAAAAGATATAGTGAAGGGGAAAGCGACTCTCAGGCAAATTAAAAAGTTTTTATATTATTATATTCATCATATAAACTAAGAATATTATGTCATTTTTTTTTAATTTTTGCCCTAAAATCCATTAGAATGATATTAAACTCAAAAAAATGAAATAAGATATAATATTGTATCAACCAATTAATTACAAATGTGATTCTGTTTTGTGCTCAGTTGATTGAATTAATTATTATGCCTGAACGCGGCTTCTCGTACGCAGCGCCATGCTGAAACTCGCTTCGATGACTCAATTTGTTAATTTTATAACGTATAATTGGCAGGGAAATAAGGTTATCAATACATGATATGAACTACTAATGTTCATATTCAATACGGAATTCTGTTTGTTTGTCCTATTATTAAACAAAATAAAGCATGGATGAACGAGTTTTTTTTTTAATTTAGATATTTTATAGACTAGAGAGTGATAGGTATATACGAGTAAATTACAACGCATTTGGCTGTTTAGAATATCCGACAATATAAGTAAATCAGGTATTTTAAATAAAACTACTTTTTCGGATTGTTTGGTGAATTTATTTTGATTTTTGGTTCCCAAAGTTTCGAATGCTTTACACTTTACAGCAATCATGGTCACGCGAGATACTGTACTTTTTTAGTTAAAAAATAATTAGACGACAACGTCTGTCGGGTCCGCTAGTATTAGTATAATTTAATTTAAATATAGGTGTCTATTTACTACTGCGACTCACCCTCGCTTCTTTTGGGTTCGTCCCTAGGTTCATTCCCCATACAAACTTTCATCCCCATTTTCACCCCCTTAAGGAATGGTTTCCGGGATAAAAAGTATCCTATGTCCTTCCCTTAGTCTCAAACTATCTTGTTAAAGAATTTCATATAGATCGGTTCAATAGATCCAGAGATTACCTCCTACAACGTCACAAGCTCACAAAATCACAAACTTCACCTCTTTCACATCCAGGTAAATTTCTAAGAAATTAATTAAATTTCTAAGAAATCTATTGTTAACTGTAACGCCGGCGTGTCCGCGGTCATGGAAGGAATAATATTAGTATAGATTACTTGTGACATGCTGGGTTACTTACCATCAAATTTACTCTAGACGTTATAAATTGATAGTCGGTTAAAATCGCCACTTATATCGCGATCATCAATACAAAGTATTTAGAAAATCGCTACTCAATAATTTGCTATCTAAGACGCATTAAAATCTTGTTGGATATGATATCGCTGTGTCATTGTGTTTAACGATTATTTTAATTTTTTCCTTTAACTGTTCGACTTTTATATACTTATCTTAATTGCAGTAAATTGCTTAATTTCTTCAAAAGAAACTTTACGTTAAAAGGACTCAAAAGTGTTTAAACTTTTTATTTAGCATTTAAATTTTCAACATAATGCCGATAGTTACTAGCCTGATAAGATTCTACGAAATAATCTCTTAAATAAGCTTTTTTATCTTGCCTAATCTAATCAATTACAGAATTCCTGAGGCTTTTAAGTATGGTGTATGAACATGAAATTAGCCAATTTAAGGCCGAGTTTTAAAAACCGCACATTTTCCGTTTCCATAAACAGGGCAACCTCATTTTTTATGCACTAGCCTGACTGGGTAATTTGCTTTCACGCAAAGCTCTTTGTTTCAATTTATTCCTGCTTGACCCAGCTTATTAAATATGTAAGTTCGTACGTAATTCCATTGTTTTAGAGAAATTACTTTTTGTCTTGATTTTTAGGAAAGTTTTTTTCATTAATTATGGACACAGATAAAATAAAATATTCGAAACACTAGTATACAAATTCGATTTTATTATTACAGATCTGTTAAATGATTTAAAATATATTATATTATCTACAATATTTCTGAGTGTTTATGATAAGCTAGATTTTTTTTATTTACTGATTTACGGACCCTCGTTACCGCATTGTTCATGGCTGTATCAATAGCATTCCCAACGTGTTGACCTCGTCAGGAATCTTGGCCTAAATACTAGCGCGCGGATCGTGATCGATACCAGATAATATCCATTAATGGTTTGAATAACCAAATTCCAATGTTTGCGGAAATCTTTAATTCCTTAGTTAGATTTATTTCTTCTAATTAAATAAAAACGAATAAAAAAACCAATCAGTTTTATAGCTTTTAGCCTTTTTTAATTAAATAAAAAAAAGAAAAATATATACTTTTAAAATTAGAAACAATAAGGCAAGTCGTACAACACTAAAAGTATAAATTCTTTGTTTTCAGCATTTCAAAAGGCGTTTGCATCGTTATCGACTGAAGTACCACCTTCACACCCTGCAGCGGCACATTTGCGAGTTCCCCGAGGCTTGAAGGGCCCACATCATATTTTTGAATGCCGTCGAACAAACATCATGGGTTCTTTGGTACAAGATGCTTCACCATTCCTTTTCCCATGTACGATAGAGTACTCCCTTATATGTGCAGCAATACTTTATGTTATGTGGAAAAATATTTCTAAATATCCATCTAAGGATGTCGCTGAAGCTATTGCTAAAGCTCGGTTATTAGAAGGCTTGGCGTATAAAAAGTCACCACATTTATATAGCGTTGATTGCGCTAGAGCTCATAAAGGGCTATTTTTTGGAATCCTTGTCTTGGTCTTTACTATTATATCGCTTGTTTTATTCTTTGTTCTTATATCAAGAAAGGAGTATGCAACTTTGGCGGTAGTAGAGGTAAACGTGTGTGAGCTAGCGCTTTACGCCATGACAACATTTGCTAGTTTGGCGGGAATGGTATGCGTGAGAAATTTAAAATATGATGGAAACAGGAATTTGGAACTCGATAATATTCTTCTTGTTGGCGCTCAAACTGGAATGTTCATTTACGGCACATTCACAATAATTGGTGGACATTTTACTATAGAGAAGAATACAATACTCATATTGATAACGGCGTTATCTTCTTTGGTCCAAACGACTTGTCAGACTATGTTCATTTTGGATGCTAGTCGTAGATCAGCAAAAACTCCTGAACAGCTGCGAAAAAAGCCCGGAAGGGAAATAGTTACTTTCCTTTTAGTTACTAATTTGGCAATGTGGGCTATAAACACTTTGGAGAAATCTCGAGCGGAATCTCATCCAGTACAGTTACATTTCTACGGGCTTTGGGCTTGGACGATAATAACGCACGTTTCGATGCCTCTGGCTATATTCTATCGATTCCATTCGACTGTCTGTTTATGTGAAATATGGAAAAGGGCGTACAAAATGAAACCTGCTTACATGTAGCGAATGGCGCCAAAGATAAATATTGAATCATACTTTTGATCTTGAACTATGATAGAAAGTGGCGTAGATAGTTGTTAGTGCCATATATATGTATAGATATTTGTATAGGGATAAAAACGTGTAACTATAATATTAAATTTTAAAGACAGCCACTTTGAGATGACAAAACTTTACTTTAAATAAGCGGTTATGAATGATATACAAGAGTGATTCAATTGTCGTTACGTTGAATTAATAGACTAACAGATGCGTAATGGTCATGATCTTATGCAATCAGTTGTAAATAAATACTCATAATATTATTATAGTTGATAGTTAATGTTAAATGAGATGTGAATAAAACTGGAGTTTTATATGGTTTCTACTATTTCATAATTGATTATATTAAGTTCGAATGAATGAACTAAACATAACTTTCAGTGATCAATGTTCAAGAATCAGTTCTCTTAATAAACATAATCGATTAACAATTTTTTTTGACATTCTAATCGATTTTATCTATCATTCATAATCGCTTCTACTTTGTTTATGTATATTAAACGGCGTGCATTTAAATTATCGCTTGTATTTGTTCAGAAGTTGACTGCTAATGTTAAGTTATTGTATTTAGATATTTTAATGTGTTATTTATTTGTAGCTTTATGAGACGCTTTAATTATAGCGCTATGTTGATATTTGATACAGTATTTTTCCTTAGACGGGTTGGTTTATTTTAGCGCTTAGTTTTTGATGTTTTCCTTCATTTGTATTGTTAAAGATGAACAATAAATCTCGTGTTCATTTTTAATCCTCTTTAGATAAAATTAGGATAATTAGAGTAGTTATATCTTTAGCCTATACTCACATTCCACATACTTAACAAATTACATTTCATTCAAACTCATGCATTAAAGTTTCAAAGGATGTCTTCCAATAGGTTATATTTTATAAACTACCTTCATTTTCACGATCTAATTTATTTTGTTATTTATTTATTATATTATATAAATTTTCAAACATAAGAACGCTATTTTGCTTGTGCCTGATAAATAAAATTGTGTGAAAAATGTAAGAAAATAATTTTAAAATTTGCAATGACTAAACATAAGTATTTTATATCTCAGTTTTATTACGATGGCTTTGCAGTGTTTTGAATTTTAAGTTAAATTTTTAAGAATAACAATTCTCTTATTCAATAAGCACGTATACATTTTTCGCTGATCACCAAAATATTTTCTATTACATACAATATAACATTTTACTATTGATATATAAGTCAAGCACACGCAAAGGCACAAGCAAGCATAACATAATGGGAACAATAATATCGACCTAATAATATTTTTTGGAATCTTTTGATTATAAATAATTAAAATTAGACGTTTCTGAATGTACTCAATCTGTTCAGATAGAGATTTTGTAGCGATATTTTTGCAATATAACGTAGTGTCTGTATTTTGGATACATTTTTAGAATTTGGTAGTAGCTGTGACCTTACCGTGGACCCAGTAGTTAGGTAACAAGTAACACCAAAGTTTTTTAATCGGTAGGAAATTTCGGAGCTTATGAAATAGTCTGGTTAAATATTATTAATTTTGTATGAATTGCTTAGACACTCCAATACGATAGACTAGACTTAGTTAAATCGTCCCATTTACTTTAGTATTATATATCGTATTATATATTGTCGTGGAAGTAAACTATGTAACCAAAACTACGATTTATATTTGATAAAATTATTATACATATACCTAATTGGTTCATATTATAATGAAATGATAAAATTATACGGCGATGGCAGTCTTTGTAGTAGCTTGTAACTTAATTTTAAACTTATAATGATGACCTATTGGTTTTATTTACTTGAGATTATATGTAAGTCAATCAAAAATAATTTTAAATAAGTAAAAACGTGCTCATAATAACTTTGATGAATTTAAAGATATACGAGCATTGAGCCCTGCAAGTTAAAATTGCTCTGGGTAGTTGACCGTTTGTCTAGATAAGATTTTCTACAATTTTTATCGTTAATAGAATTTCCCATTCTGTCGACATCATTTAACGCTTATAAATGTCATTTTCATACATTTGGTTTTCTACTAACGATAGCGATTGTAGATTGTCAACTCAGCTAAGCCCGTAGAATACAATTTGTTTCTTCTCTATAATATAGCATAATATAGTAAAAGTACAGTATAAGCAATGGCCCAATTATCTTTATATTTTATAATAATTAATATCAAATTTGTTTCTATATACCGATTTTGAGTAAAGTAATTAACTTGCCTATTATTATAATAGCTGTATACCAAAAGCAGTACAATTTAATCCTAATATGCCTTCGAAGCTTTTGAATTATTTTCATTTAACTTTTATGGCACATCAATTTTCATTAAAAATATTTTTTGAAGATAATACCATTTTTTCCTATAATATAAATCTTGAATCTAAAAATATGTTATTTCATACAAACGAAATAGGGCCATTGTCTTATATTAAGAACTATACTAAAATATCTTCGCAAAAATTTAACTATATATTGCTCAATTTTCATCTTTAGCTATCACGTTTTGTAAAAGTTTTATAAAATTTTATATATATTTAATTTTTGATCATTTTCCAGGACTTTTCTACAAGCTTATATCTTTTTTTATGGTTTACAACAACGAAAATATGTATTGAACACTTATAAATTTTTTTTAAACATGGAAATTAATGTATGATTTTTACTTGAAGAATGTAATTTAAGGCAGAATTAAAAATAAATTCGTTGGTCGTAATCTAATATGCAAATAAATGTAATATATTAATAAGTATTTATATTATTAATTTATTATGTATGTTATATCATATAACTTTCTGATTATTTTATACTTTTTTCTGATATATTAATTCAAAAAAGGACGACACATAATTTATCTTATGGCAAATTTTTAAACACTCAAAAGTTAAATGTGACATACAAGATATTGATTTCCTTAACTATTATATATAATTCTACTATCTGTTAATACATAACACGTTACAAAAAAGTATATATATCCATGTATTCCAACTTTTTATATGTAACATAAAATATAAACTGAATGTGTCATTTATTGTCAATAAAACGATATTATTTCCTTACAAAAATATATTTAAGTTTTTGCTCTTTCGAAACACCAAATATTTATTTGTTACGCCTTGTATATGTAAGTCCAAGTGTATTAAATATTTATTATTAAATATTTTTACTTTAAAGTGATAGTGATATTAGAGTAATGTTTTCGATTATATATTTGTATACTATTTATTTGTTTAGGCAAGATTGTGAATAGCTATAAGAATATCTTCTTGGATGTTTAACGTTTACAAGCAAATAAACTTTCTTGAAATTATCTAGACACAATGTTTTTTTTGTGTGTAATATATACATATATTATATATATATATATATATATATATATATATATATATCCTCGTAAATATACCCATATTTCGAATTGCAAGTTAGAATGAGTCGTTAAAAAGTAAATTATTTAAAGAATTAATGAATTATTGGCAGTTTACCACAAGTTTGAAAAATACTTACCTAAAGTGGCAAAAGAAATGAATGTTATTTTTTTACCGATTTCAACAAGGAGGAGTACTTGATTTTACTGTTTGTGTGTATTCTACGCGATATCTTTGTCAATTGTAGCATTGCCCGCGGCTCCGCCCGCGTTCAGATGACCAAAAAGCAAATTCTTAGGTTTAACATATTAGTCTTACAATGTAGTTTTTGTATTTTTTCTCAGAAATGAGATATTTTCCCGCGGTAAAAAGTATCCTATATGTTGATCCGAATAACCAGCTATCACCATACCAAATTTCATCAAAATCCCTCCAGTGGTTTTTCTGGAAAGCGGTAACAGGCAGACAGACAGAGAAAAATTCTAAAAACTATAGATTAGGCCTCTGTATCGATAATAATATTTGTTTCAATAAGATTTTTCAACAAATATTTTATGCACAGATTCGGATAAGTTACAATTTTATTATATGTATAGATTTTTATAATCATTAGGGTCAATGTCAAGGGTGTTCCCATGTGTGTTTTAACTTTTAAGTGACTTTAAAATAGGTGTACTACTTTAGTAAAAAACATTATTTCATAAATATATATTGCAATTACGTGCTTAAAGGGATTAAACAAGTTATGGTAATCGAACCTTACCTTAATTTATACAGCGTTGTAAGTTGAAATAAAATGTGAAAACAAAACGATATCTCTTACGAATTTTAATGAACGCAAATTGCATATTGTCGCCATGTTGTATTTAATACATATCAAATAAGTAATTACTGAGGAAACGATAAAAAGGGTAAAATATTTTTAAAGAGCTACAATTTTAATAAAATAATTAGTATTTGGTCAAAGGGTGACATGTTTTGTTATATAACTATCCATAGCAATCAAATATAATAATCTAATATAAATATATATATATATATATATATATATATATATATATATATATATATATAATTTTAGTTTTACTCGACTTTCAAAAAAGCGGAGGATGTTACTTTGTGTGCTCTATAATTTTTTTATGCATGTTCACCGATTTCTCAGAGACGGTTTGATCGATTTTAAAACTGTATTCTGTTAAAATAGGACCCGAGGAGCTCCTACAAAATTTTCTTGGACATTGACCTAAATTATTTTAGAGAAAATCAGGAAAACCCATGAAATTTTAAGTATGTTAACAGATCTACTCGACTTTTTACCTATCTACCTACTTATCATATCTACTTGAGACTTTGCAAGTGTTTGTATTTTTGATGATAGTTCAATGATTTGATTGACCCAGAGTTGTTTATTTAACCCAGTACTCGTATTTAAGAGCATGATTTTTAGTGTTACTAATAAAAGCGAGTTTTTTTTAGTTTGTTAGCCTTCCTATAATAATTGGCATTAAACTAACTCAATGGCTTAAGCGAATATATTGTTAAAATAATTCTTACAAATTTGTTTCTATGTAGGTAGATACTACGTT